CTCTCTCTCTCTCTCTCTCTCTGCAGAGGGGGCCCTTTGCAACAGAGGACGCTGCTGCGGGCTTTGGCGGGGCTCCCCAGCTTGGCTTTGGGTGGGGGGTCTCTTCTCTGCCCCCCCCCCCCCCCCCCCGGGGGGGGGGGGGGGGGGGGGGGGGGAGGGCGGGGGGGGCGGGGGCGCCCCCTCTCCCTTCTGCAGGCGGCGGGCGGCGGCGGGGCAACGGGCGAAAAGCGAGCGTGTCTATTCGCCTAGGAAGTCTCGCCTTCTTCTTCTTCTTTTTTTTCCCCCTAAATAAATAAAACGCCGGGCGATTCAAAAACCGCGATCGGGGGATCGAGAGAGAGAGAAAGCAGATCCTTTAAAAAAAAAGCCCCCCAAAAGCCCCCCCAAAAGCCATGCTGATCCAAGAGCCCCTTTTCGGCGCAGCCTTCCGGCCAGGACCGATGATCCCAAAGCAATAAGCGGCGATGGCTAAGAAGAGCGAGGTGGACCTTCTTCTTCCTTTGGGGGTTCAGCCTGCTTGGGGGCGGGGGGGGGGGGGGCGGCGGGGGGGGGGGGGGCCCCCCCCCCCCCCCCCCCCCCCCGGGGGGTCCCCGGGGGGGGGGGCCCCCCCCCCCCCCCCCAGATCTGCAGAATATGGCGTCCCCGACCGGTTTTAAAAATAACACTGGCTGCCATTTTTTTGCGCTCTTTTGTCTGCAAATTTTCATCAAAACTGGCCCGGCCCGGAGGGGGGGGTGGGCCAGGGGGAGGAGGGCCGGGAGCGGGGAAAGGGGGCGCCGGGAGGGTTGCTTTCTTTTTTTTTTTTCCCTTCCCCAAAGGGGGGGAAAAATCGGATTTATTTTATGTTTGTTTTGCAATTGGCGGCGGAGTTCGCCTTGCTCCGCTTTGGCATCGGGATTTCCTCGCGGGGGGGGTGCAGACCTTGGGGGCTTTGAGGGGGGGCACCGGGCCCGAACCGGCGATGTAAAAAAAAGGGGGGGCCGAGGCGGCGAGCAGCCCCCCCCCCCCCAGCCCCGCTGCCGCCTCTGGAATTCCGCCTCTTTCTCTCCACGCGTGTCGCGGAGGGCGCGGGGAACCGAACCCGCGGACCAGGCAAAGGCGAGCCGGAATCTCGGGCCGAGGAAAGGAGAGAGAAAAAAAAACCCACAGGAAATGCAAAATGTATCTTTTCGGGTAGTTGGTTGGCTGGGGGCGTTATTTATTTATTTATTTATTTATTCCCCTCCTTCCTTGCTCCAAAATGGTGGGGATCCGTTTCTCTTTCCTTCCTTTCTTCCTGCAAAAAGAGCGAGCGCTCCGCTGAAGGACGATGCCACGTTTGCTGAGGGATAACCGGGCAACTTGGCACGGTTCGTGGGGAGGGGGGGGGTTGCACGGGCGGACGGGGGGGGGATTTTGCCTCCCCCGTGTGGGTTGTGTTTGTGTTGGGGTTTCCTGCGCTTTTTCGCGGATTTTCTGACTTTGGAAGAAGTGTCGGCCTTTGTGTTAAATAGATAGAGGTGGATATGGATTTATGGTTCGCCTTTCCCACCTCTACTTACGCGATCCCTGGTGTGTATCTGGAGTTTGTTTGCCTGGGGGGGCAGGAAAGGGGGGGGGTCCAGCAGGAATTTCTTGGGGTGGGGGCTAGGATGATCTCTGTGTGTGTGTGTGTGTGTGTGTGTGCAGTAGCTCTTTGGGGGGGAGTGCTGGAAATGCCTTTTTTCCCCACTGGCTGCATGGAGGTGTGTTTGTGTGTTGCCTTTGTGTTATTTTCCAGCAGTTTGGGGCAGCCTGGGGGGGGG